GTTCAGCATCCATCACAGCAGGTTTATGACTTTAGTTAATCATCCAAATATTAAACTCCATTTAAACTCATTTTATTTCTAGGAATAGGAATTTCGATCTGATAACATCTTTAAAAAAAAAAATCACAGAAATAACAGTCCTTGCAACACTTCTAACAGCTTTTAAACTATTTTGGGTCAAAATATGACATCACTTTGCTTTCATTGTGTGGGCATTATTAAAAGTTTTGCCTGAGTCTAAACTATATTTTTCTACTTCATTCATTAATAGGGATAAACAAAGTTTTTGAGAGTAAGAATACATTTTTCCAGATATTCTCTGATTAATAAAAAGTATTTTAAAAGAAATGGCTTGGGAATGGAATGTTTAAACATACGCATAATTTTAGAAAATATGTGTTCACATATGAGAAGTGTTTGCAACACACCACTGTGGCTTCAAATGAAATTTTCTTCTGATTTCCACAAAATTCTTATGTTGATTTCTACTTTCATTGTGTTTGATCAGATATATAAGGCTTCATGTAAAGATTCCATTACAATCTCATTTCATATAAGAATGAGGAAAATCAAGTTTTTTCAACTAAGGTATTTCTGTAGGCAATTGTATGGGCTAAGGCTTCACAGATTTTATGTACCATAGGGAAACATTTTTTTCTTTCTTTTCTGAGAAAAGTTAAATTATAGTAACAAAGCACAGCCTATGTTATGTAGTTGTTTGGTTTTTTTTTTCATTTCCTTCATGTAGAAAATAGATTATATTGCATACTGAGATTCCCCTAGTTCAAAGAACAAAAGTTAAGGAAGAAATGCATTTAAAAAAATCAGTGAACAATAAAATACATTTTTAGCTGCAATAAAAATGAACTGAAGAATAATTTTTGGTGTGGAAGGAATCATTCTGGGGTGAAAATATATCTTAGCATGTATCTGAAGAATTTAGATGTAGATCTGTCAGACTTAAGGATGGCATAGTTAAGAAAGCAAATTTTAGAGCTCTTGTAGACTTTCCCATTTCTGTCAAATAGATAAAGTGACATTTCTATCTTTAGCAATTCTGTTTTAGAGTCACAGACCTGTAAAAATATACTTGACCCCTTCTATCACTAATGAAGTGAAGACAATGATGCCTCAATTCAGTATTACTCTATAGATTCTACAGATTACTCTACAGATTCTAAAGTAGACAAAAAAATCTATATTTAAAAAATTAAAATCAGTCACATGATGAACTGCAACCAAGAATTTAATACTAGATTTGATATAGGTAATTGTGTTCACTTTTCAACTCTTTAAGGATCTTAAAAACTGATGTAATTGTATGTTTTATTTATATTTATTTCCTTTTCAGAATGACAAACTATGACTTTTCTTCATATCATACAAGAGTATTTGTCCATAAAAATTAAATGCTGCAATTTTATATTTCATAACATGCTTTCATCCAAAACTTTTAAACTAAAAAAAGGTAGGATTTTTTTTTTAATTAATTATTGCTAACACCTGAAGTGTAAACAGGAAAAAAAATTTAGAAAAGACCTTAACTGAAAGGGGACATTGTGATGAATCCTCCCTCTCCCTTTCAAAACAACAAATAATAGAGTAAAAAGGAACTTGTTTGGTTTTTTATTTCTCCCTTAATTCTTTCAGAGTAGAAGAAAATTCAGTTGGTAACATCAAAGTTCATGAGTCCTACAGTGATTATACTAAGCAGCCATCAGAACTAGGAGGTTTAGGAAGGCCTGTGCTATTTCTTAGTGGGAATATAACCTAGAGTAAGTACACTAAGTTTATTCTTTTGAATCGGGAATATTAGTCAGAATGTCCATTTGACTCTGTTAAATTCAGTAGAATTCACATTGGCCAAAACAGAGTAAGAAGTCTTTACTTTAAGTCTTCTTCAAACAGCTTAATTTTATGTAGGGGTATTTTAGTAGCACTCTGAAAACTGCACTTTTTAACATTCTTGGAAATCTCAATTTAAAATAAGGGTATTCCATTAGCATATGGAGTAAGGAAAGATATGTTATTCCACTGTAAGATGGGAGCGATTGCAATGTTTGGCCTATTTTTTACCTAGGATTTGTGGCCCTCTAGTTAAGTACTGAAGCTCTTCAGAAAGTTAAATAAATAAGTAAGATTGGAAGTCTTTTTAAAGGCCTGTTCTAATTAATTTGCCCAAATAATTTCATTACCTTTCCAGGACAGAGAAAATATTTTTTCATTTTTTACTATTTAGTCAGTAGAATATACTTTATGCCATCCAGCTATGCAACATAAATAAGACTCAACAAAAGAATTTGAATCAGATTACAAACTGTAAAAACCTACAGCTGTGGTAAATTTTGGTGAGCATTATATACTATGCATATTACACACCCTTATGTGTATGCTATAGTAATATCTGTCACCAAACATATGGGATTTCCACCTTACTTTCTTACTGCAACAATACAATCAGAAGATAAAAATGTAGAATGTATCGACAAACTTAATTAAATTAGAACTGTGCAACAGAAAACATGCATGTACAAAAGCTATTATAGTATCAGAATGAAGGTTGTTGTTTTTTTTGTTGTTGTTGTTTTTGTTTGTTTTTTGTTTTTTTTTCTTTTTGTAGAAAGCACATACCAAAAAAACCCACACCCTATCATTGTTTCCTAATAGTGGAGGTTTTGGGGGGTTTTACAGATGCAGAAGGTAAAAAACCAAGGAAATTGGGCTGTTTACTCTAAACCACCTTTAAATCTCCTGTGAATGTTATGTGCTAAAATCAGCAATTTTGACATCTTAATCCAGATGCATGAATTATCTTCCCACAAAGAATAAGGAGATTAACGAAAAACTGTTCTCTCAGAACCGTTCTGATTTAATACCTGCTTATATTCTGCAGCATATCTTGCTCTCATTAAACTCTATACACATGGTTCTCTTTTTTTCCTATTTTTTAATATTTTTATTGAAAATCTTACATGTATGACTAAAAGTCATGGACGATATCTTTCAGTTCCATTACAAAATCTGTATATATATATATATATATATGCTTATATATATATATTTCATACAACTAGAAGCAAATCTACTGAATTATGAAACAATGATTGTCTATTAACATGTAACTCAAATTAAGATGTAGATTATTTAAATTATTTTTCTTTTCTGTTGGAGCTGAAGGCCACTTTCACATAATTAACTGATAATGCTGGGCTGCAAAAATTACAGAGCCTTAATGATAATTTCCCATCCCCCAGCCTCCAATCATTCATACATTAGGATTTCAGTACAAGGATCCTTCTCTCAGAAAGAAGTACTTTTAGAGTGAGCATCGTCCTCCGTGGAGCACCTTCTGTTCACACAATTTTGTAAACAATTCAGTGTACCTCTCAATAATTGCAGGCAGATCAAGTCATTTCAAGTTAGGTACAAGCAAAAAATTTGCAGGAACAGACTCTAATTTAGGAACTAATCTACATTTTATCTAAAACAAAAAAAAAATCTGAAATAATACCTAAACCCACTATTTTACTTGAATATATGCCTTATTATCTAGTAATAAATCATGAAAGATGAAGTATAAATATTGTCAGAACCATTAAAAAAGTTGTCTTATTCTAAGAAAACCTACTTCAAAATCATACAGTATATTAGCCAACAATAATTGTCCTTCCATTTTGGCACTCCTGAACCAGCATAGAAATTACTTGTAGTGAGTTAACACGTTGGGGAAATAATACTTATGTGCAGCAGGATCTAAAGATGACCTCTGAAGATAATAGTATTACATTGCTTAACATAAGAAAGAAATAGAAAAATCTTTTACTGTGATTCATCAGCAGCAAAAGAGAAGGGAAGGAGAAGAGCGAGGTGTTTACAGTCTTTGAGCATATAGCATGTTTAACATTGAAAATTAAATCTTGCATTAAAGACACTCCCAGCTACCTCTGTAGTCTTCTTTCAAAAAATTCAATGTACAAATATCTTCTTTAAATGTCTCAGACTTTATAATGGCCCAGAAGAACAACTGCACATCCTTGGAGCTGCTCTCCTTTCTGTGGGGTGAATGGTGGGTAGCCTTGTTTACTGTAATTTCTCCACTTCCATGCTTCATTTCCTACATTTATCTGAGCTGGAGAAAAATCAGCATGTTCTGACAAGTCTAAAACCATGAGGCAGTAAAATGGACCTGAATTTAGTGGAGATTGGAGTTCCAAAATAAATATAATACTTTGTTCAAACAATAATAAAAAGGATAAATTCTCCTGTACAAATCAGAAGAGAGAATAAAAAATAGCAAATAGATAGCAACACCTTTTCTATACCTACATGGGCATCACAAAATTTCCCATCCAGAAGACTACACCTCCATATTTATCATTTTATGTGGATTTTAAGCTACTTTGTAAGTTGATGACACACTGTGGAGTTCTTAGTACAAACAATAATTTCTCAAAAACTACCCAGAAAATTGCAGAGATTTCTAATTAAATAACTCTGAAAACAAACAGGGAGAAACACAAAAAAAACCATTTCCTCGACTTTCGTTTGTTTTCATCAGTCCTTCTGCTTTTGTTCTAGAAAGCTGTATGCACACAGTAAAGAAAATTACTAAAAAACCCCTTCCTTGTGTAAATACAATGTACTGTAATATTGTATTGAGTTATATATTTGAAAATTTATTTCTTCTTAAAAAGAGACTCTGTATTCTCAATACAGTAATATTGTGAAGGCATCTACAGAGTATCACCAGCTCACTGAGGTGACTGCATAGCATACTCTTGAAAGTGAGTTGCCTCTCCAGGTACTTGAGGGTTGCTATCTATTTGAACGTGGCTGAGCATTTCATTTTATCAAAAATGCCACCAAATGCTCATATTCTGTGTGGTCAGTGCAGTCCCTAGGACAAGTCTAATGAAGATATGTTCCACTAAGGCAGAAAAAAAAAACAAAACCAACAACATAAAATTTTAAAAATGGGAAAATATTTACAACTTTCCTCAGTCTGTTAGGTTGAGTTTTCTGTTTTAATATTCTTCAGTGCATTTTCAGAGGAAGGTTCCAAGGCTAGGAGTATAAGCATTCTGGTCCGGTCCCATACATATCTGCAAGCCTTTTAAATCGAGGGCCCCAGTCACTGAGGTAATCGTAGTTCTGGTCAGAGTTTGAGCTGATGGAATCTAAAGAACTGAGCGACTCCGCCACCGAACCGTTCCCCTCAAATGCGTACGTCTGCAGGGAGTCGTAGGGCGGCGCACAGGGGTCCACGTCAGCTTCTTTTAGTCTTTCCCAGATAAATTCCCTAAAAATTACATTATCTGGAATACTTTTAAAAGTCGGTCTGCTCAAGAACTGAATCTCAGGTGTCACGTCCCTTCTGGTCTTGGTGTCTCGCATGATGTTGAGGTTCCTCAAGGCAGCCATGTCAAAAGCCTCTGTGTCTTCTTCTCCCCCACCCTCATCATCGTACCTGACAATGTTTTCTCTGATATCTCTCTCTTCATCAAAAATGAGGGGCTCTTTTTTCCGTCGCCTCATGGTGACAATCAGCAAGACAAGAACTGGAACAAAGAAAAGTTAGAATTTTAGCAGTGCTGAAGTTTTCTCATATTTTTCCTAATGTTGGAAGTATCCATTAATTTATATGGCAAAGACCCAAGGAATTTATGCAGATAGATGCAATAAATTTATGCAGTTAGTTGTGAAACCTAGCAGATTATGAAATAACTTTTAAACCATAAGCTTTTTAGACCCTAAAGAATCTATTTCCCAAATCATTCATGATTAGCATCTTCATCTCTAATTCTAAGATCCTATATTGTCTGCTAATATCCTATATTTCAATACTGGTTCAGTCTGACTACGAAAATCTCACATCCAAGAAATTATAATAATTTAAAAAAAAAAAAAAACAAGAAACTTTTCCTGAACTCTTAAATGCCCAAGTGATAAAAGCACATCCATAAATTGATGGAATAGAATTTAAAAACCATGCTTTGGAAAGTGACAGCATTAAAGTGTATGAACAATATCTGCTGAATAAAAAGAAAGTTTAGAAATATTATATTGGAGAACATTGATAAGACTTAGTTCATGGAATAAAACCACCTCTATATAGGATCTCACTTTCTTGAAAAGTGCAAAGTACTGCACTTGAGACTTCTGCCTTATATCTAATGAGAACTGCTATGGCTAGAGTTTACTGGATAAACCAGTACTAGAAATGTAATTGCTTGTTTAATTTTAACCCTAAAGTTTCTTTCAGCTTGAAAGCTAACACTAAACTGCAGTGGCAGCCAAAAGCACTGAAAGAAACTAGCTCAAGACTCCTCTAGTTCTAATATAGTTTTGGTAGAGAAACATCACTGGTGGCACACAAAATATGGAACCAATGCTGTGAATATTGCATCCATCTGTGGGACATGATGGAGTATGAATCATCCTCCTAGAAAATAATTAATACTATATTGTAGCATCTGGATAACATTTGCTGAGTTAATGACACTCCTAGGATAACACAGGCATCACTATGATTGAAAAAATAACAGTATGTTGAAAAGTGTCATTCCACATTTAATTAATCTCTTCTGATTTTATGACTATTTTTAATGTTAAGATTATGTGATTATATGCATTGATAACATTTTCAATCTTTACTTACAATGCCAATTAAATGCTGTAGAAACAAATGGAAAAGCAAAAGCTAAAAGGTGATAGAGATAAAATTAAGCTTAAGGTTCCCTAGGTAGTCTCAAAAATGGCCTCTACAAATTGCATGATGTGGGACTACCATTCTTGAAAGCCTTTTCATGGAATGATCTTAAAATCACTATCAATCTAGTCATTGTAAGGAATGACTTAATATTTCAATCACATAGCTAGAATAAACCAGTAAATTGTACATGCAAGAAAGCGGTATCAGTCTACAGATGTTATGGTACAATTTGGAACTGGCTAAAGCCAGAGATGCCTTTCTGCACTATTTTTATTTCCCTTTGGAACCACACATGTCTAAAAATAAAGCTGCAACTACATTTTTTTTTACCCTAAAATTTTTGACAAATATATTAGGCAACGATTCATTCCTCTTTTCTCAGTAGCTACCAAGCACATATCCAATAGTCCATCTACTATCAGATGTCTCATGACTATATTACGATGTAATCAACACCACTCTTTCACGTTTTTTGCCCCTGGTATCTATCTGATTCCTCCTTTATGTATTGAATTCAGAAGCCACTAATTTGGGGCATTTTGCTTTGAACAATATTTACATAAGCAGTTTAATAATATGAAATATTGACCTTTAAAGTGACATTTGTGAAATTTCAAAACATTTTGATATTTGTATAATAAGCTGTAAATTATACGGCAGAGAACATAAAATTTTCATCAGATACAATTACACTCCACTCTTAATGCTTTTCCTTATTATAAAAGATATTTTAAAGTGAAATTACCTTGCTGACAGTACAAATAGAAATTTCAAACAAGATTTCTATTGGCATAACTTCTTAAATATTGTTTTTAGCATTTACTGCCACATTTTTATTGCCACATAAGTAAGCAGCTAATCATTTACTTTATTCAATAAATGCATTTTTACTCTACTGTCCCTCTTAACATACATCATGCTGAAAGTTAAAGACATGCTAATAAGTGTAAAATAAGAAACTTAGTAGGAAGGTCTGCCTAAAGGTATAATAAAAATCAAGATACAATGAACATTTTATATAGTGTTCCTTCTACCTCTCACACTTGCTTGAAGCCAAGAAAAATATGGAGTCTTTCTAAAGGTTAAATATTTTAGCATTTAGATAACTTTATAAGATTATTAATTTCTAGCCTTTCCAGCAGCCATGAACAATAAAGTTTAACCTCTAAATGAACAAAGCTTTAGCTGCATTGGAGGAGCTGCAGAAATGAATACAAACCTAAACAATTTTCACTGCTATTTAATCAAATGCAAATGGTTTCAAAGTTTTTTTTCATTTCTTATTAAGTAATGGTGGGCTTTTATTTCCTACATTTATGACAAAAGCAGACATTAAGTCAGTAATTAGGGACTGTCTGAACTACTAAAAACCTAATTTAATGGTTCTTAGAAAATAAATAATACAGTGGAAAACTTTTAGGCACAAATGTATTGCACATTGAGGGCACTAGATTGGCTTCATACAGATACACCAAACTCATACTAAGGAGATGAAATGACTATACGGATTTCGTATGTGATGTAACAAATAAACAAATCAATCGCTATTTTAAGCTGCTAATTATAAAATCTTAATAACCAGAATTACCAAAGACTGATTTAAACTAACCTTTTAATTCTTCTGATTTACCTAAATTTTTACAAATATTGATTTCCTTTAATAGGTACAGTAACCAAGCAAAAAAAAATTGTTTGTCTTTATATTAGCTGTGGTAATACACAGTTTTATCCTTGTGTCTAGTATACATTTAATGTTTTCAGTATCAGTTCAACCAAATCACTCTTTAAACAAACACCTTCGAATGCAAGAGTGGATTTTTGCTTTGCCACTTTTCAGTGTGCTTTCTGGAATTAGCATGAAATTTCCATTTTGGTATGATCTGGTAATAAGTCAGGTTTAGTTCACCCTAACATATTTTTCTGGTTTAGTATTAATTTTTCCTTTTGTACTCAAGGCAACTGCAACATAATTGTAAGGAAGCCATAAAGTCGTGAGAGGCCCTGAGAGAGAAGACTACATGCAGAGCTATACAGAAAGGCACAGAGCTAAATCACAAGCATTACCATGATTTGTATACACTACAGCCCTAAGCCAAGAATTTACTATAGCAATAAGCCACATCAGCTGCGAGCAGATCTGCACACTGGTTTATGCCTTAGGTGTGTCATGATTCATAAAGCTGATGATTGGAGATCCCCAGCCATCTAAGCAGCGTACTAATAACCTATTGAAGTTATACCTTGCAGTTGCCAGTACAGTCAGATAACGATTGGTGATAACAGAGGCCAAGACTCCGGAAACTTGAATTTGATTCCCACTTAACAAACTTCACGTATACCTGTTGTTTAATCAGTTTGGACTGATATTTGCAAAGTGACTGTGACCTTTAAATGCCCACACTGAGTGACCCTAATCAGCTCCCAAACTTTCAGAAAACAGCTGCTGCATTTCATATTCAACCACTTTCTGAAAGTGTTGCTTTGGGTACCCCTAGTTAAATGTTTTCTCCCAGTTACACTTATCACTATTAAAACTGCAAGGCCGAACCCTACACATACTACATAGCCACACTCTGTACATGTTATACCTACTTAGAAAATAGGGTTCTTTCGACTAGAACTGTTTTTTCTTGTTTACAAATCACCGTTATGTGTTCTGATTTAATTTCGGTTTGCAGGTATTTTGATAATGATAACAAATTTAATGTCTTTCAACTCAAAAAAAAAAAAAAGATTCAAAGCTGCATTTTCAAGTTTTATTAATGTATTATTCTTGTAAACTCTAGTGCCACACCAATAGGAAGCTTTCTTCAGTCTTCCTAAGAAAATAGGAGACACCAATAGATTACATTTAGAAGTATGAAAGACAACAACTATGAAAAAGTATTGTGCCAATATAGCTTTTGGTACAAAGAAAATACTTAACCTCTCAAAAATGATTAGGTTATCTACAGGTGAATATTCTGTTTGTGTGATTTTATGTAAACATTTCATGCTAAACAGTTGTTACACTGTTTCTGGAAGATGCTAACTGAAAAACAAATTGCCTTGAATTAAATTATCATATAATTTTCAGAAAAGTTAAGAAAATTCTACTTGCTTTCCTCAAATCTATGTGTAGTCCAAAATTATTCAAGCTACCTTTTCATATGCTTTTTATGATTTTTGAGGTTTTTTTCTTTCTGTAAAACTTAGCTTTACTGCATAATTGGAAAGCTGTTTTTAGTAATTAAAAAAGTACTGCAATTTTCTTATGAAATGAAATTTACAATTTAAATTCCATCAGTCAATATGAAGATAGAGATTTTGTTTTTAAATGTTGTTAGCTTTTAAAAATTATTTTCATTTGAAAAAATAGTCTATACCAGGTTATATGCAATTCTCATAAAAAGAGTGTAATTTAATAACATTCTTCCTTCTTAGGGTCAGTGAAAACATTGTGCATTTCTAAAACTGATTGGTTGCTTAAGTAAAAGTAGTAACACTAAGAAATCCCACTGAGAAATCCAGGTCTTGATAAAGGCGAATGGTTATATATTAGCCACAGGGATGTATGGGGCAAGATCAAAAAGTATATCATACTAACTTCAAGAAAGTAAGACCTGGTTGAGAATTCAATACCCTGGTGCCAGAATGCATGTATTCATTCCATCTATGCAAATTTCATGCTTTCTCGGCCTTACAACTGGCACCCACATTAAGATGACATTGATTAATGTGACTGGATTTGCACTGCGTGTTAATCTTGGGTTAGGGAAAGATATTGATCCAGTAGACTGTATCCTCGTTTCACTGATAAAGTCTTACACAAAAATGTTGATCCCTTGTTCCAGTCCTGGAACCATTTGCCAACAGCTGAAGCCGTTTTTTTATGCTGTACTAGTAAATCTTCAGCATTTTTCTCAGGAATTTTGCAAAGGGCAAAGGGCAAAAGTAAATTCCTAGCAATTCCACCATACAGCTGATCCCAGAAAACATATTTTAGGAGCAAATGAGAGAAGAAGAAACTCTCTGGGACCGGACAAACAGCTGGGTTTTATTGGGCATCAGGGATGCTTAGATATCTTTTCCTTGTGGACACTGGCACGTGACTGAGACTAAAATGGGATACAATATCAAAATGCAGTACTCAAAGCCAGGGTTATCATACAAACACAGCCTAACCTGTTCCTGCAGCTTTGAACTGTACTCAAAAGGAACAGTTCAGACTGGAAGTGATGGTGGCACATACAAATGCCTTTTTGGATAAACAATGTTGATGCCTTCAGACAGATGACTTTGGAAAACCAAAGTCTTTGACAAATAAAATCATTGTTGAGGTGGTAATATGCAAGATTTTTTTACCAAACCCTTGTTCAGAATACTTTAAAAATAACTGGAACAAAAGCTCGTTTGTTGGTTTATTGGTTGTATTTGACTTCTGGTGTACTGAGTAGAATAACCAAGTTATTTGGTGCCAACATGCTTTGTTTCCACTCAATGGTCTTCTTGAAATCCTACTGCTTCTATTTAAGAAAGGTTTATGACCAGACCAAGTTGCATGGTACCTACAGCAGTTTCCTACGTAATCTTCAGAAACTAGCTTTTCATGTGTAACAAAAATGGTGAGATTTCCTTTTCAGATCAACTGAATTGCTATGTTTACAGGACTTTTATTCCTAAGTACATAAACTTAAAGTTTAAAGCCGGTGTTTTTTCACTGATACTAATGCCAGTTGATATAAGAGAATATTTTTATATCTTTTTGAACTCTAACATTTAGCTTCATGTCCCAATAAAGTTCATTTGTGTACATAAATTGGCTCCAAATGCTGCTAGAAAAATGATATTTAAAAATGTTCATTAAAACTTTTGGCAATAATTTCCTTCCATTTCTTAAACCTAGACCTAACCATGTGTTGAGTGAGAATAAAGTCTTATGGTGTTAGATTTTTTTATGTCACAGAGACGGAAAACTTTAGAAATGCCATCTCCTATATATATATGTAAGTTGGTTGCAGAGGTAGTGATTTTTATTACTCTGTAAAAAAAGTATGCAACAGGTTTTTTGTTTTGGAGTCCTTTAGAAATATTTTAGCAGAAGGAGCATCTCCTTTTAGTGGTTTCCAGTGACATGAATCAGAGTGTGAAAGAAGACATATCTGTACATGCTGGAAATACTTCCAGGGACAGAAGTTTGGACACAAGTCTCTTGATTTGACCTATGGAAATTACTTCAATAACAGTGGCAGATAAAACACTACTGGGATTATACCAACAAAAGAAGACTGTGGTCTTCTTCCCTTCCTTAGACTGGTATGTACAGACAGGGAATAGAAAAATCTCTTCATTGATAGCAACACTGAAGAAAATTCTTGTGTGCTGAACCAGGTACCCTGGTAACATAAAAAAATTTCAGACAAAACCCAAAACTTCACTTTTGTTCACCTTAGCCTTCATCTTTATTTCTTGATTTGACCCTTTATTCTCCCTTTTACTGTTTAATGACTAGGTATTACATGAGAAATGCTAGGCAAACTAGGACGTTGACACTATTCTGCTCTTTTCCACTGCCTTTTGTCTAGTTGCAGTTTCACTGCCCAACATAAAATCCAGCTGTGCTACCATTTGCAAAAGTAACAAAAGATCACTCTGCAAATGATGTCAATTAATTATGATTCTCATGAGTAAATTGCATCTGTTGTATTTTCTGAATATCTTTTCTTCTATGCAAATCAGTAAATGTTTAAAAACAGTTATGCCATTGGAAAAGGGATACTGGTTATATGGTGAGGATGCTAAACCAAATGCTTCCATAAACTGCATTGTCTATCTCTTAAATATTGCATTTGATGCAAGTCCAACTTTTTTTTCTTTTACTGTAATTTCTTATATCTGTCTGAAGGCAGCTTGATATAGAAACAAAGTATCTAAATTGATAATCCCAATCTAAAGGTTTTTTTGTGCTAATGTTACAAAATGCTGTTCTTTCTTGAATACTATCTATGCCTGTTCACAGAAATGAGGGCGGAGAGGAATGTTGAAGCTTATATTCATGTATCTTTTGCCACAATGCATTGAATGGAAAATAAGGGTAACAGAAAGGAGACATACCTAGCAGTGTCAAGACACAAGCCAATATTGCTATCAGGGCTCCAGTGCTAAGTCCTGCAGGCAAGATATATGCTTCTGCATTGCATGTCTGAGCAATACCATCTGCATCACAATCACAGACCCTGATGGTGAGAGTATTAGTGCTACTAAGTGAAGGTGATCCACTGTCCACTATGAATATTGGCAAGTAGAAAACAGACTGTTCCTGTCTTCGAAACCCATTTCTTTTGGTTAATACTGTCGCAGTATTATCTAGATAAAGGAATAAAAAGACAAAATTATAACATCTGTGACTTTTCTGAAACACAAGTCTAGAAATACTATAGCCTTCTACTTAAAGACTTTATAAAAGCATTACTATTATTTCAAAATGTTTACCTTTCCCAGTCATACACTTTTGAAGCTGCAGAGGTAAGATCAACTGAAAATCACACACAACTAAACAAGATTTTTATGTTCCAGAAAAGAATATTTCAAAAATGCAGAGATACATTTGTTTTTAGCTAAGCTCACATTTTCACAGCCTGGATAGATAGCTGAAGATGAGATAATTGTAAAAATTATCCTTCAGTGATCAGATTAGGTATCTCAATACATGTTTCCAGTTAATTTACAAGCATCTATTTCAACTATTTACGGCTATAGATATCATATTAATGGAAGCAATGACCATATTAATAGGAGAATAGGTTCTGAAGATCAATGAAATATTTTTTGAATGCAAAAAAATTCCTATCCATGCAAAAACAAAGTAACTGTTCATGCAACAAAGAAATGCCGTTGTTTTCAAACTCTTCTGAGATTCAAGATGGCTATTATAATCAGTCTAAAATGTATAGACTGACAGTGGTCTGAGTTATGTGATTAAAAAGTCTGTGTGTTCAAGAAGATATGTACAAAACTCTCTGTGTACAACACAGATTGAGAGCTCCTGAGAGGTAGGGAGCTACATCCCCCAGCATGTATATAAATATTCATTCAATTTATCTATCTACCTTTCCACTTACCAATCTATCCATAGACAGACATATTGGTAGTCAGTAAAGTTATCTTACTGTGTCATCTATTATATCTGGCAAAATATGCAAACACCTTGGTGTAACATCACATGAGAGATACATAAAATTAACTAATGTTGAATTAGGCAGCTGCTGCTGTGTCTTTTAACTCCACTGATTTTACAGGCATTACAAAAGTCTAGTATCACTTTTATTAAATTATAAATTTTCTGGAAGAGGGTCTCTTTTCATTACTTACAATTTTGTCAGGTTTCTGAACAGTCCTATTCTAATGCACTTTTATTATATTGATCACTGTTACTGTTAGTCTTCAGTTTTAAACTGCAAGCTGCTCATATGAAGAAAATTAAGCATTTCATTAACTACATGTAAGGTAAGGCAAGGAAGACCTGCATGAAAGAACTTTATTAGGTCACACGTTATACTTACTGAATATTATTCAAAGTTTGCCTGTACAAACAGTGTCCTTCAGTGTCCATATGCTTGTTTTTTCTTGTTTTACTAATAGGATGACTTTGTAGCTCTGGCTAAGTACTGATCCATAAAAGAGCAGTGCAAGAGCAATACCCTGTCTATTTAGTTCTGTTTGCTACAGCTAATAGCTAAACTGCCTGACACGTGCCCAACTGCTGCACTGTGCAGTGCAACTAACGAGGGCAGTAATTAGAGTGTGTTCTCAGATATTTTAACTAACAGAAATGGGATGTCAGTGGGAGTCTTTGAGGAAACAGTCATAAGAAGTCTGCGCAAATATTATAGGCAGCTTTCATTATCAAAAGCATTCCTCAAAAGGGGATGTACTTAGTTACTGAAAAGATGTGTTTTTCTAAAAATCAAACAAAATCCCCACAAATGACAAAACATCTCCATCAATCGTGTACTCATTTTTTATGCCCTGAGTTATATTAATAAGTCATGAATTCCTGGACATTTTTCAGTCACTGCCCCAAGGGAAAATATAGTTTGGATAAAAACCTATAAATACATGCAGAAAATGTGAAGAATGACTGATGGAAAAAAAAAAAAAAAAAAAAAAAAAAAAAAAAGAGAAAGTAAAGATTTAAAGATTTGATGCTGCTCTGTTTGGCTCAAAGCTTTAAATGATTCAACCAACAGCTTAATTCCTTTGACAAACAGTCTACAGATAAAAATATTTGGCAGGCTGATTGTAGTTTATGTCCCCATCAGAACAGAAGTTTATGTAAGTCATAATAAGCATGCTGCATTGAAAATGGAAGGTGCTATTGGTGAATATTTACCAAATCAAAATTTTCTTACCTTTGTTGTCCTGCAATGTAAAATTGTGGTTATTTGCTGCCTCTGCTGTTAAACTGAAGTAGAACTGATGGCCATTTGGTGGGTCATCTTTATCAATTGCACTAATTTTTTGGATCACCTGTTTTGAGATACATCAGGGTTTCATTGAAGCATATGTAGATGTATATTACTTAACCCCTCTACCAAAATATCAACCCTCCCTCGTATTGTAGTAATCTTGAATTTTAGTTTTCTAATCTCCTAAGCATGTAGAGACTGTTCATGTGTGACTCAGCTCTCCACCTGTACCAAATTTATTGACCAAAGCAATGCTCTCCAGGATCTGGGAGAAAGTTAGGTCCTGTCATTTGCCAGAGCTTGCAGTAATAAACTACATAGCAGTGGAAGAAGTGTGCCTTCTTGATGGCTCTTAGTGTAGTTATCAGTGGCTGCAATCAATGCTGTAAACCTTCACAAGGAAACCGTGATGTTTTTGAGCATTTGAATTCATGTACTTTTTTTTTTTTTAATATAATGGAAAACAGAAAGGCACATTATAAGTATATTATTATTGTTTTCTTGAATTTCATTATTAATTTTATTTCATTTTCTAAAATTCTGTCAAAATGTACCTCTAAAGAATTTGTCACCACTGCTTAAAATCCACAAAAATTGGAAATTCCAATTCTCTGGTCCAGTTCTGATCAGAGTGCAGGGAAAACAGAAAGGTACAACAATAAGAGCATGCACAGTGTTTCTCATTAATACAAGCTAATGATCATAGTGGTGTTTTTGTCAGAATTTAAATTATGAGGTGATTTTGAAATATGCAATAAACATCTACCACAGGAAGGACAATACACTGGGAGAAGGCACGAAAGCACAAAGTCTTCCTGGAAATATGCGGGATCTATGCAGGTGCAACATCTACAAGTTTTCTGGAAGTGGGAGGAGAGACTGAGAAAGTACATGTATTTTGTGAGGTCTTCCAAAGCTGAGAAGAAAAGGCCAAATATGAGGTACATCAAGGACAAACAACAAGTGATAGATTTAGCTAGGTCTAGGACTACTTGGAAGATATTTGTGTAGTTGAAAATATGAGAATAAAAAATAGGAATACATTCCCAATGTGAAACTGCGTCCTTAAGGTCCATACTTCCTATGGGGATTAAAAGTGTGTACTCATTTTCAGAATGGTGGACATTTAGTTTCAGAATAATCTTTGTGTTACTACTTCCCACTTCCTACAAAAATTAGAAGTATGCGTTCTGGGTATCATTCAAAATTAGGTGAGTTAAGTAAAAAGTATCAGTTATACAAGAAAGAAACCCAGAGATTTTAACATGACTTTCAACCAATATTTTTTATACCTGGATTCTTCCTACTGTTTGCTTGTACTGTTCATCAGAGCCTCATTCTTAATGTTATAAGAGGATTTTTCTTAAAGCTGGAAGACTTTCATAAGGAATGGCTGATTATCTGTTAAAAACATACATAAAACCTATCAAGGCATACCTGACCAGGCTGAGCATTTTCACAGACAGTTGTCTCATACTCCATGGCAAACTCAGGGGCATTGTCATTGATGTCAAGGATTGTGATGGCTACATAGCCTCTCCCAATCTGTGCTGGATTCTCTACAAGAAAAAGTCCAATAAAACAATTAAGAGGAGATCCTTGCAAGTTATTCTGAAGGTCATTATCTTTTTTATTTGCATTCTTCTTTTGATATGCATGTCAAATCAATTATAATCCCTCCCTCAAATACAAAGGAAGCTCTTGTCTTGATCTTCTGTACCAACATTTGTGTGCTCCAGCTGCTTCAATTAATCTAAAATTTTACTCTCAGGGTAAACTGGAAATCTTACTCACTAATCACAGCATTGAATCAAATCACATGGAAGGATAAAAGCAAGATGATGTAAAATCATCACCAAGCTAGCCAGAACATCACTGTTCATACTGAGAATAGCATGATTGTTATAGGTTAAACTTTTTTTTTTTTTTTTTTTTTTGGCTGAACTTCAGATGAGTCAGTCTATTGAGAAGTCAAAACCAGAATTTTATCAGCTATGTATAAGAGAAAAGAGAGAAGCAAATCTGAAGCAAATCCCAAAGTATTTAAATTGCACACACAACTAAGTATTTCAACTACGTCATGAACATGTTGAACACATTAAATATGAATCACATTGTAAACTGGTACACATCTCCAGCTAAACTACGAGTATGTTCATTGTCCATTGTCATACTTTAACTGTAAACAATAATTATATTTTGAACTAACCATAAGGACATCAGTGAGCACAACACTTATTTTTTGTTTCTTTCAGAGCAGGGGAAAGAGTCGTTATAATTCTTGTTTACCAAAAATAATAATATCAATGTTACAGCAGGACAAAATAAAAAACTTTACAGAAGTTCAAACATGTATTTATCTTTTTATAGTGTATTGCAGCCACATTTTAATAAATATTTTAAGCATGAAAATGTTAATTCACAAGGTGGGGTTTTTGGCTGTTCTTTATATCACATGTGAAATGCCAGAGAAGCAAGCCTTTTTGACACCAAATTTGTCCTCTGCTGAGCTAAGATTATTGAAAACCAAGCAGACATAAATATAAATTAAAGCAGTACAAGTTTTTACTTGTGCTCCCAGACTCTAATTTGTGTCAGATATGCCCCTTGTCTACCTCATCAGTTTTGCTACCACCCAGGAAAATTTTTGTTTTCTATTTTGTGTTTTTAGACCAAAATTCTACTCGTGGTAATAGAAGATAGATTCATAGAGACACTAAACAATAAATCTTGACTTTCAGGTTGAATGTTAAATTAAGCTCACTGAAATCAAGAAGTGATGATTTTTACAACAGCAAGCCAGAGAACTGATAACTTTTTATTATCACAGCCCAACAGAGTACTAATAAAGATGAAATTTGAAGGTATAAATTTTTAAAATATAAAAGCACTTTACAAAATGTATTCAAAGCAGAACAAGTTATGTTTGAACCTGCATTAGAAGAATTCTTATATCAATTTGAAGCATTACATTTTTTAGCACTTTTTATCTTACACTAGAAAAAGATACCAAATACAAAATAACTTCTACAGTGGTACCTTAGAGTCAGGAAAATGAAACCACATCAGCATTCATATCCCCTTTTCTTTATACCTTCTAAGAATGCTGTGGCTGACCAACAGCAATCAACTCTGAGATGGGATAACCACTCTCCCCTATCTTCCATATCACCTTTCCTGTAATGACACTTAGTGTGAGACTGCTGACTTAACATATTTAATCTTCCTTTGTATTTGTCTTTCAGAAAATAAAAGCATACACAAGGTGTGAAGCAATGAAAAAGCAAACACCTAAACTGTTGTATTTTTATATTTTTATCATATAGATTTCTTTTGCATTAAGTAATATGTTATTTTTATCTGCCACAGTTTGCTGCTGCCAGAACTTCTCTATGTGAAGCTGATCAAAACCAAGCCTGAAGCTTTGCACACAAACTGTCGATAAAAATCTTTCTATGGATACTTACGACTTTCCATGGCCAAAACTGTGATATTATGAACAGCATTAGTTTCCCTGTCCAAAGATTTGGCAGTTGTAATGACTCCACTGTTGGCATCAATATTGAAATACCTCTCCAGATCTGTGTTTCGATCTATTGAATACCTAGGTAAAGGATGAAGGAAACTTTTAATTTATGCTCATTTACAGTCTGTAAAAATATTTCACTGATTTCTTATTAGAGGGGAAGCACTTCCACTGTTTCCTTAGTTTGAGCATTGCTCAGTCCAGTTTCCCTGGGGCATTGAGAGAAGCAAAGGCACTTGCAAAGGTGAGAGAATTACACAGTGACTTGTGCTGCCAGTGGCAGGCTACACTCCCACAGTGTCATCTAAAGCGAGGTATTCCTCTGTCTTTTCTTTCTTCCTCTGTGCTGTAAAACAAACTCAGGAATTAATCAAATAGCATCCTCCTGAGAGCCAGCTAAGGAGAAGGTGAGTTGGAATTTGCTACAAGTCTGTACCAGCCGGGCACTGATCCCATGGGGCTGGCAGTCTGAGCACAGAACTTTCTATTATCACCACAAGAGACCCTGAGTCACCCATAGCTGCAGGGGAAGGGGTAAAAAGGAAAGATGATGCAGCCTAGGGTCAAGGGATTCCATGTCTTCACTGTCAGCTCACAGCACTTCACTGTCATTAAACAAACACAGTCTCATGCCCTGAACTCTTTGGCTTATCACATCTTTACCTCCCAATTTGTTTTAGGAAGGGGAACTCCTTAGGAACTCCTTAGCAAACTGAAAATAGCATAAGAGAAAAGGTCAAAACACCTGTGGGTGATTTTCTTATATCCATTTTTAGAGTAAGGGACAGCTCATTAAGCAGATTTAGATTTAGAACTGGAGAATTTTTGACATTAGATTTATAACTGGGTCAAATTCTTGCACTCTCATTTAGGTCAAGTAGGTACTCCAGAGCACTTCCCTACACTCAGGATGAATTAAACTGTCTGAACCAGATCAAGTGTGAGTGTTGCAATTACTGACACACTGATGATATATTAGATTATTGATATAACATAAACCTTATTCTTAGAAGAACATGGAAAGAAAGAACAATGCAAGACAATTAAAAAATGCGACTTCCTAGACACAATGATCTTATGAAACCATTTTTTTGTTGTATGTTGTAATATACATCTTCTTTACCGTATTACTGTGTTTTTATCTTTGCCTCCTACCTGTATAATCTAAGTGCAGAGCCTTGTTACATAATTAGAATTGTTTACCTGTATTATGTCACAGCGAGAGAGAGAATAACGAGTGATAACAACAACAGTAATAGCAGTTTTTGTGGATTACCGCTTTCCCTCTTTTTCTTCTTTCATTTTGTCTTAACTGTAGGCCATTTTTCACTTTATTTCTTGCCAGCACTGTTGTTTATTTGGTCAGCGGTGTTCTACAGCTGCTTTGAGGCTGGCAAGTTTCCCCATGAGACCATACCTGTCACCTCTGCTATGTAGTCAATCTTGTCAGGCCTCACAGCTGAGATTCAATCTCCTGCCAGATTTCCCTTAGAAATCCTCAGATTTCCCAATTATTAAGTCTATCATTATGTAACTTGAAGAGTCAAAGGAGAAGGAGGAGAAAGAGAAGAAGTAGAAAAGCAGGAGGCGATGGAGAGGTGAGAACGACAAAAAGGAAGAAAGCAGTAAAGGAGGGAGACAAGGAGGGAGCTAGGGAAGGAGGGCGGAAAAGCAAACAAGTTATATAAATTGGATGATCTCCTTATGAAACAAGGAGAAAAATAATTCTATGCATAGGAAGCAAGCAGTTTCCCTTATTTATAAGCATTGTACACATACTCAAATTCTAAAAAAAATATTTTAAATATATTTAATCCTTTAATTCCTCACAGCCATAGTACTTGAAAATCTTTGAGCTGCAGGAGTTTTAAATCCTTTATTTAAGCTAGTTCAAACGTCAGTGGTTCTCTGGTCCTTATGAGATAACCTCTTATTTTCAAAACATTTATTATTTTCCCTAGTCCTTGGTATTGTCAAGGTTCTGTGTCTGATCATGTAATTTCAACATTTTCTGAATTGTAACAAATCTAGATTTTAATCAGCATCAATATAATCCAGTGTTTGGAAGTTGGAATACTTATTTATAGATTAATAGTTTAAACTCCTTAAACAGATCATGAAAAGTTTTATGCATTAATCCTTCTTAGCACATTCCAACTTTAGAGGAATCTGTCTCTGATATATCAGAGTGTATGCAGAACAGCTTTAAATTATATTATCTTTCAGTTCCTTTGACCATGTACATAGCAGGTTCACAAGCACATAGAAAAAACCTCACTACTTTTCTTTTTTCTTCTCCCTTAAATTCCAAGAAACTTTGAAGCAGAAGGAATCTCCAAGATGTTAGCAGGTGATAAAATTATTTTTTATGCTGGAATTGTAATAATTAACCAGATCAAGGCCAATAAACTCATCTTTATGTTTACAAAGGAGTCAAAAGCATTCTGAGCATGGCCTGCATTAATGGAACTGTGTTTAAGCCTATTCTAAATGATTCTGGTAACCAGATATTATACACCAGATGCTAACATTAGTGCCAGAAAATACTACCACAGCAAAGAAAAATTTCACAAGTAAATCCATGCCAAACATTCATCTAGGACTTGTTTATTCATGGTAGGAATCAGCTACTTTGAATAAGTTGCAAATATATAACAAAAGAGATAGAACATTTGCATCACCTCTAGGAGTGAAACATATGCTTTACTTTAGCAAAAGATCTCTGCTTTAGAAATTTCACTTGATTCCCAAGTTCATTTTCAATGTGTGAAAGGAAAGACTTAACATTACCAAAACAAATACCCACAAAGATCTTTCTTATGTATGCCCTAAGTGAGCAATAAAACCAAATGTAACTAAGCACTAACTTTTAATTGTGTATGAGTTCCTCCCACTGCAGGTGTTTAAATTCACAGAGTTCCTAAGTTATAACCATTACTCTCTAGATCCTTTGCATGTTCCTTTGAGAATTAATATTACTACTCTGCATTAGAAAAATAACAAGTAGCTCATTACTGGTATAGCTAAGGTGGAGAGTCTTTGCCCTTGAGCTCTGACCTTAGATACAGGCAAACAGAAGATTGAGAATTTGTGTTCTCCTATAGTTTCTTAATGATCTTGGACATTATATTGTGGAAGGTTTGAAGGTTTTTCAAACACTGAAGACGAAGAGGTCCTTGACAGTTTATGAATCTCTAGTGATCACACCTCTTCCCATTCAAATGTAAGATGTTTGGCTGCAGCAAAATTTACAAAACCAAAAGCGTTTAACCATCCTGACTAGAACAGGATGCATCTCATCCTGTCCACTTCTTTCATGTGAAGAGTTTTTATCACTGTTTCCTGCTGTGGGACCTCAGCTCGAGTTTCCATGTGGGAATTTATGTCCTATTACATTCTAATTCCTAGTGCACACAGACTGTGATTCATTATTCAAGCATACATGTATATTATAGATACAATTTTTGATCCTGGTTGATTTAAAAGAACATAGCTTGCTACAGATCATAATAGACTCTTCCTAAGCTTAGACAGTAATAAATATGAGCAATATTTTTAGGTGATTTCTTTCATTTGGGATTCTGAAACAATATAGTCTCTATGTTTCACAGAGATTTCAACTATTTTTTTTTTTTTCAGAGATTCTGTAGTTCAGGTTATAAAAGTTAAACCATGCAAACTCATAGAACATCTGAATCTCCTTCTGTAAGGAAATAAAGCTTATTAATGACTTCCACTGTTACCAAAGCCCCTCCCACCACAAGATGAACAAATTCAATGCAAAAGCTGAATAAATAATCAAGAACTCTTGGAATTACCTGACAGGACTATTTGAGGCATCAGGATCATGGGCTGCTACAGTTCCAATGATAGTGCCAACCTTTGCTGCTTCAGACACCACCATGGAGTACAGACGTGAGGTAAACACAGGTGGCTCATCAACATCCTCTACAATTATCTTCACTGTTGTCATATCACTGAAGGGCCCCAGACTCAGGAAACGAGGATCAACATGCATATTGGCTGCTTCTATCCTCAAGGTATAGCTTGTCTTAGCTTCAAAATCCAGCTCCTATACAGGCAAAATTATTTGGAAATTTTATTATTCAGTGATTTTGGTGCAAAACTGTTTTGCTTAAGACTTTCAGTAAGTACAAAATGAAAATACTTTTGCCATTTTTATACAACCATCACTTTTGACTGACAAAACATAGTTGATGATTAATTTTTTAGCTTTCTCAAATCACTATTTGCAGTGTCTCACTAGTGAATATTCTGTAATGACTTAAGCAATAAAGATAGTTCTACCTTGTGAGTGAAAAATATTATAAGATAATTACAAAAACTTTCTGCAACTTCTGTGAGGACCAGATTCTCACTGATTATTTCACCATTGTGAATTAATATTTTTTTGTCTTATTAATATTTATCTAATCTCATGGCAAATACCATGTGACATACTACCAGGATAAAAAAACTCAGTGTAATCTTTGCAGATTACTTAGAGGTGAAAACACCACATTCAGAAAATTGTGGGTGGGATTATTTTCTGTCTTAAATTTATTTTGAATTTATTGAGGTTTGCATAGTATTTGGATTGGATAAACAATCTTTTCTCCAAGGTCTTATAAATTTGTGTAGAAAATGTGGCAATGACTTAAATTACACTGTTTAGACCACAATATTTTGTACTGAGATGAAGTCTGGAGACTGTTTTGGTTTGTTTTGCTTATTATGCAAAATGCATGTAATTTTTAATACCTTCCTTCAGTGTATATATATATGTGTATATATATATATATATATATATAAATATAAATGCCTTCCTTCTTCCTTTAATTTTCTTCAATAGAAGTACAGTTTCTTTTCAAATAAATACTGTATTAGAATAAAAAACTACCCCCCACAAAACTGAGACATCTCTGATCTGAGGATATGCAGATTCTTCAGAAAGAACAAGATTTTATTTGAGGAAAGAATAATTTTAGCACAGAGGCCATTACTGAAAGAAAACATGAAATTAGTATTAGAATTTTTTACCCTATATCTATAGTCTTAGTTTGTTAGCTTGCACCAAACATCCAACTAACTATTCTTTTGTAATTCCAAGTTTAATCATTGAAAAACAACAGCAAAATACTGAAGCACTTCTAAAACTGCAGTCTGGTTATTCAACTATGTCTTCAAACTATAATTCCAAGTGTATAAAACAGATTAAAAATGTTTTTCTGCGGTTCTGCTACTGAATACATTACAGGGATCTGAGATGTGCTTGCAAATTAATCCTCCAGCATCTGCAAAACATTCCAGTATTCACTCAGAGGAGCAGCAGAGGTGAAACACACATCTGCTGACCTACAAGGGCCTAAGTTCTCCATCTAGTTACAGTCGGATAAATCCCAAATGAGCATCTTAAAGTTAGCGATTATGTTGATGCGATAATACAGCTGCGAAGAGTCTAGATTTAAACATGAAAAATGAACTGCAGCACAACACACTCGGAAAAGCACTGAACTTTTACAAACTCTGTGTGGCAGCAAAAGGCTTCTCCAAATGGGAATACTTGTGATTCTCATATTATGCAAGCACTTACTTCTTGCATTGAATCAAAGCTGCAGTACCAACAGCTCTTGGAAAACAGATATGCTGAAATAGAAAGTTTGTCTGGATACTGCTCCCTGTATTGGATAAAACTGGTCAGTATTCATTAGTAAAGCATGTTTAATAGCTTAGGGGTTTTTTTCACTTTTGGTTTTGTATTTAAAGGACAATACATGTGTTATGAAACAACCTCATAGCCATAATGCAAATGCAATGTGATGTTGGAATGATGAAAAGTGCCTCAGAAACTTCATTCTATGGTGATAACAATTAGGCAAGTGATATAACCAGATGAGCAGCAAGGTGAAAGAGTGGACAAACTCTTAAGACATCTTAAGACATTGCAATATCTAATAAAAGCAAACTATTAATTAAAAAATTATAACCTGAAGAAACAGCATAATAAATAACAAAATAACACCCCGAAAAATGTGAAAGGCAAAAGGCTTACATTTACTGAACTAAAAAAAAAAAACAAAAACAACAAACAAACAAACAAACCCCACTAAAACCAAAACTCCCCCTCAATAAACAAAAACACTGGCCCTTTTGCAAAGAGTATATTTTCAGTCAGAATGTACAAAAGTGCGTAGTAGAGAAAGGAAAGCTAATTTATCTTCATGGTATCTGTTGAAATTGTGTGATTGAGATTTCAGTGATACCTAATTAAACACATGGAAACTTATCATGAGACTGCAGAAAACATAGCTTCTTCTGATACACTAATGTTAACAGCACAGTCCTTCAAAGTAAAAAGAATTATGAAATTTCTGATTTAATAGAAAAAATTTATTCTGTATATATAATTGGAAAAAGTATATAAATTTAAATTTTGTTTTAATAGACTAGCACAACAAAAAATAAATACTATTTAAATTAATTTTAAGACACTCCCATGTCTCTATATTGATTAAAGAAGATTACTTTAGATCTTTATTAACTGAAATCATAACAAAGTGTTTTTTTCATATGAATGTGTATCCTGTAGGAGTGTTACACTAATAGGGAATTCACCAAAAATACACACTCATGAGTAAAGTATTTCCCCACAGAAAAGGATGAAAAACTAACAGTGGTGCAGATATGTATTCTAAGCAGTCTTACTTACTAAGTGCATGTTCAACCATCTCTAACAGAGCTATGTACATCTGAAAAAGCCACCATATGGTCCTTAATGTGACTGTAGCAAAATTCTTCCAGGAAAGCTATCAGCTGGTGAATGCCTGTTTTTCACCAGTCACTAGTAAGGGAATTTCAGTAACTGAAAGAAGTAAACATCTGTTCTTAGCAACATGAATCCTTCTGTAGGATTCCCTCAGATATATTCTGGTACCCAATGCTTCTGGCAGCATTCAAAATAGACAAGGATCCTTGTTAAAGAAAAATACATAAATAAATTTTAAAAATTGAATCTATGTCCATATATAGTAGAGGGTAATTATGGATGGACAAAAGGATTTTACAATATCAAGTGATTTTATTGCAGTGTCAATAATGTTATTTTCAGCTCTTTCTAGCAGAGCCTGTCTTCTGTGGGGTGTGACAACGTCTACAAAAGCTACAGTCATTATCCTCAATCTGTTGCTCTGAGATATACAGCCTCAGAGCCAGTGGGGAATACAGAGGTATCAATCACAGTTTGAGGCAGAATATAATCTGGGAAAAGCAAACAAAATATCTAAGATATTATTAATGTGCAAGAGCTCTTGACCTGGCATAAATATTTCAACATTTCTTAGATAATATAATGAAGAAATTTCATGCTATACACACTAATGAAAGACAGAGAAAGTGACCTGAAAAGATTTTCTTTTTTTCATTTCTTCTTGTCTAATTATCATTGGTGTCTGTTATACAGAGAGCATTATTTAAATGGCTTTTAGATCATGCCTTCATTATTTCCTGCTATAACAAAAACACAAGATTCCAATGATGGAACACTAAGTTAACAGACTGCAAATCACTACATCAATGGTGAAGGTTAAATGGACAACATATACCTCAGTCCTTCAGTACAGTGAATAGAGCTTAACAGCTTCATTAATATCTGTGCATTAATATTATCTGATTATGTCCCGTGCAAGATCCATATCTTTGCTTTTGTGAGGCCTGTCTCTTTTTTTCTTCTTTTCCTTTTAAGGGGTAAGAATTTTATCCTCCTTGAAGGAAATTGCAATACAAGTCTTCCATTTTACAGAGGATGGATATAAAGTTATAACTCACAGAAAGTCCATTTATATAATGTTCATTTTTATTGCATGTTAACTTTGTAATAATGTACTTTTCAGAGGTGAAAATCCCATTTTTAAGCCCAGTTGAGCTTTTATATTGAAAACTCCGGTACAGCAAACAAATGCGCACAATCTCTCAAAGGAACCAGGGAAGCTTCAAGTTCTTACATTGTAAACTCTGATATAGAATTGAAAGGAAAATTTCTAGCTAAAAAAAAAGAGAAATGTTAACAATAATGGAAAGATAGCTCTTCACTCAAAAGCTTATGCATAAACCCTCTCCTTCCCCCATCCCCATTTTATAATTGCCAATATTGCTTTTAGAATGAACTCAGGTTTTAAAATAATCTCTTAGCAGTCAATTTTTTATGAGAAAGTACTTTAGAACATTATTTTTTCCCTTTAACATGCACACCAGTTAGTGATATCGTGGTGGAGCTGTGTATTGAGGGTAAAAATGAAGGCAAAGTGAGCAAGAACTCTGCCATGGGAAATCTTAATGCTTGTCACGTTCTGCAGTAAGACTTTGCAACCCTCACTCTACAGAGTATTTAGGGGTCTTTGGTCTTTTTTTCTCCCTCCCTTTAATCCACTAAAATCTCTCTACAGACTTCCAAATGGCTTGAATCACGTCTCAAAACATTTCAAAAAGTCACATATGATACATAAAATAAAAATATACCTTACAGCCTTTTTTTTATTATTAAATTACCATAACTACTTTAAGTACCAAATATTTGATAAAAGTGTAGGTGGATACAGAGCATCATGTTTTTATCTATAGATATTTTTCTACTAAGCTATTAATATTACTGAAGTCTAAATTTAGCCTGCAACTTTGTGGATGTAAGTAAGATCTGTACTTAAATGATGCTTTTTTTAGTACACTATTTCTAGGAATAGTGCCTTAGAAACCACAAGAAATAAGGGTTTGTGTATATACTTTGCTTGGAAAGCAAAGCCAAAACTCTATTCATGTGTAGTACAATTTGATTCTGTCAAAAATCAAGATGAATTCACTTCAAAATTGTACATAGATAGCTTTGCATGGACACTTCAGAATCTGTTGTATTAAGTGACTGAATCATCATTTGCTTCCATAAATGTTTCTTCAATTCTAAGATTTCTACTGCAGAGGAAAATCTGACACGTTTTTTAAAACTCCAATATATGCAGAAAAATTATGCTTTTTCTCCAAACACCCTCACCACTGTGAAATTGAGTTATGCAAATGAACTGA